ACCCAACTTTGAAAAAGTACGTGTAAATATTCAGTGTATTTAAATGATGCCACAATAAGAAATTCTGCTTTTGTTCCATCTGAATCTCTTCACCTCTTTGTACTTCGGGATGTAATTGAGGCTCTTAAGAAAAAGGGACACAATCATCAACCAGCAACAAGATTCTACAACGTAGTTAACGCTGTGGAAAAGGAGGAGAGCTGTATCTCTGCATGGTCTGATGAAAGGAAAAAAGGCAAAGCAGCGGGTTACTGAGGCCAAAAGCCAGGGGTGTTAGTTTAATAGCCTGGCTTTAAGGTTATAGATACTCCCGCAGCCACAAAATCACAAAATTGTAGCCAATAGTGTGCATAGTACTTAAAGATCATTAAACAAGATGCTGATTATTCTCACAGTAAACACTGTCCTAATAAGTTTATAGTTCCAGTTCATAATTTTAACTCTTACTAAATGCATGTTTATTTTGGTCATTTTAACCCCACAATAGTCCAAAAGGATCATAAAGTAGAGTACGCTTAGGGTGGCCTGTCTATATCTGGACTTCTGGTTTCAAAAGAAAGAAAACAAAAACAGTTTTAAAACACATAACAAGATGGCCACAGTCACAATGCTCAGGTTAACACATGTAGTATATGTGAAACACACAATCACAGTTAATTAGGATGAATCCAAAACACCAGGGCTGATGTCGCTGTTACAGCCATGTCACTACAGCAAAGCTTACACACTGTAGAGATTTATTCATAACATTATCTTAAATGGTGATACCACAAGGATGTGTGACATCATCTGTGAGACATCAACCTTAAGATTCAGTGACCTTATATTGTTTTTAGAGAACACAACTTTTCAGTTTTAATATCTGATTTGTTGTGGTTGTGTGTCTAATAACCTAATCTGGCTTAATTATGGTTGAAATAATATTTTTTATCATATAACTTTTAGTATCTGAGATATAAACATGAAGTCATGTGATTTTATGTTGTAAGATGTGAAAGATTTTGTGCTTTCTGTGCTGTGGTGTTTT